CAAGTCAACCTGTAACCAATATGATTCCTTTCTACTGAAGGTTCATGGCTATGGATATGAAATAAGAAATATTGGTAAATTTTAGCTCTGCGTGTTACAGTGAAAGAATTTTTATCTCAGCCATGTAGGATTTCTTCAGGACACCAAGGCTGAAAAAGGCTGTTTTTACCCATTCATGTTCAATGGATGATCATCTGGTCATTTTAATAATTCTTCTACTAAAAAAAAGTCATCTCTTTCCTCAACTATTTCTTCTATGTTCCAATTGTGCATCATCTTCCTTGTTCCATTTTAATTAGGGCTGTAGTCCTTAATAAAAGTATTGGATATGTTAAATTTTATGTTTCCCTGTTTGTTCTTATAGGAACATCTTCATGGAATAGGAATTGTTCTTTTCATTTACATAGGAAAGATCATCAGTCCTAAGACAATGTTCTTTCCTTTTTACACAATAGTGCAATCTGATTGCTACCATACCTCTTTGAAGTGACACAATAAACAAATTACAGTTCTGGTCACCAATAATCTTCCAGAAAAGTACTGTACAACATACCACTGTCTTCATCAACAGCTTGAGAGGGAAATGGCCAAAAGAAATATAAGCCACCAGCACAAACTTAGTAATAAATTGAGTGGTAGCAGATCAAGTGTTTCTGTTTAAAATAAGGAATTTGTGCATATACATATAAGGGGGGGGACTGTCAGCTTGCACACACTCCTTTATGCCACTTCATTATTTCAGCTGAAAAAGGAACAGCTCCTCCTCTCTCGCCTGCCTCAGCTCAGCTTGTAGTAAAGAGGGACGCTTTTGTTTACCAACTCTCCCACATGCTTGGATGACACATGATGCTCCTACATTATTTCTGCTCTGCAGTGGTTCCTCACTGGCTCTTGGTGCCACAGCAACGCACACATCTTGCCTGAAGAAAAGGGAGGGGAAGATCCACATTTCTTTTTTTGGTTACAGCTTTTTTCCCCTGGGGCATTCTTGGACACATTTCCCAGACAAAGACATTGGATAGCTACACTCCCCAGATGGAACGGGTCATGTTACAACCAGTTCTACAGCTTCCCTTCAGGACTCTTGACAGGAAAAACAAAGCCCTGTTAACCTTTGCCACTCTAAACAAAGTTAGCTACCCCAGAACTGACATTAGGGACAGATGCTGATGGAATGCTATCTAGGATGGGAAAAACATTGCCAGAAAGATTTCAGCGGAGAGGGAGGTGATTAATTCTTCTCTCACCTATCACACATAAGGAGTTCCTATATTTACTAAGAGCAAGAAGTTAGAATGGCACTCCAGCACTTGAGGAATTGCTTTTATTCTAGTAAATCATTCCCCCCTACACACACACACTTTGGCAAAATTGTTCTTTTTTGATGAATGTGAAATCAGAGATACCACTCTTTGTGTAGAACCATTTGCCCTACCCCCACCCCCAAACACACTTCACACAAGCACAGTTACATCCCAAAAATTGTGGGCAGAAGTCTGGGAGAAAGAGGGTAAAATGAATGAAAATGAAGCTCGAGAATGTAGGAAAAGCAATGGAGCAATCTGAACATCTGGCACTCCATGGAACTCTAGCCACTGTAGTGAACATATACAACATCTGAGCAAATTCTGCCTTTGCAAGAACTTGGCAGCTGCCGCAGAGTTCCTATAGGAAATAGCAATGGCTGTAACTTAAACTCTAGCCCTCTGCAGCCATTGCCTAGTTTCATCCCCCACATGACCCAGGTCCATAACAGCTTCCTGAAATGGTTGCAGGCTACCACTCCTGTTCAGTTGGAAACACCACAATCGGGCAGTGAAACTTTCTTTACTTGATTTATATCCATTAAAACAGCTCCAAGGAATTTCTTATCTTCCACAAGTACATTCTTTTCATAAAAGCACAAGTTTCCTTTACAAATACGGTAGACCTCATTATGGATCTCATTGGCCCCTAACCAAAGCACTTGTCTTTAGAAAAGAAACAGAACCCACAGCAGTGATAAACTCCTGAGTGCAATTCTTCTCAGAAGGAATGTAAAGTGGCCCCAGCTGAAATCAGATAAATCTGGGTAGGTTAAAATAAACTGGCTTGGGTGATTCCTGCTCTCCTGCAAAGCATTTTGAGAGATCTGCTTCGGAGGGTTTCACACAAGGTAGGACAATCCACAAGCGTACCTTACAAATTAGTAGTGGGAAGTGGAGGCTGGTGGGGGTGAATAGAGAGAAAAAGGAGAGGGAAGGGAAGAAAAAAGCACCCAGTGTCCAAAGATAATATCCTTGGAAAGATCCTCCTACTGAAAGACTCAGAGGAAAGGACAGATGCTCAGAACTTTATAGCTGATTGGTTAGGTGTAGGATATTTTATAAAACAGATAGAAAAGTTTGTGGTGAGCCTTCTGAGGACTCCTCCTACGGTACTTCTGCAAATCTTCCCTTGCAGAGATCTTTAATCAAAAAGTCTAACACAATACTTCTTTGAAGATGGGTTGGCACCAAGATCTTTTTTGTGAAGATGCCAAAAGACACCTCGGAGTGCCAATAGAGTGGTGAACTAGTGTAGCACGACTTCCCATCCCAAATTTAGCATCTCACCTTTGCTAAAACTCAGTGGCCATGCTCATACAAAATGTGATTTAAGAAAATCAATTCAAAACCTAGCAGATGCTAGGCTTGCTTAAGGTTCATCCTGGGCTGGGTTTAGATCTTCTTTTATGTAGCTTAGCGTGCTAGATATACCCAAACTTTTCTGTTAATTTATGGCTCTGCATATTATGCAAACTGGTTATTGATATAACTTATTTTCAGGGTTACTATGTTATGTGAACACATCCACTAAGAAACTTTAGGCAAGCCCTTCTATCGGTCTTGGAGACTTACATCTATTTGCAATCTGGGGAGAATAGAACTAAATAGGGTTTGCTGGCTTTGAAAATGAGAAGTGTTTTGGATTATGCATGTGCATAAGTGCAGTATCTCCCAGCTCTTCGCTTAAACAGCCTGCCTTTTTTCAGCTTGCCTTGTGAGACAACTGCTGCTTTAACAATCACAATTAATGAATGGATAGAATATACTGTAGCAGGAGCACTCCCCCCCCACCACAATTATAAGAAAGTCTGGAAAAACTCTGGCTGCTTTAAGTAAGATCAGAAAAGTGCTGTGTGTGTGTGTGTGCAAGTTTCAAAGTACTTGTTTTAAAACATTTCTGAAGCATGCAGGGCCTCGGTACTAATTCTCTTTATTGTAACAATTATAATATAGACTACTTTTGGTACCTGGGAGAATTACACAGGTGCTTTGCACTGTTATTGTTGCACTCAAAGCTTTTGATGAACAAGGACTATTGCCATGGCCTCATGCTTCACCCATCAGGCCATGCTAATTTCTTTCATCTGTTTCACAAGAGAGCCCCAAAAGAAGAGCAAATCTCCAAAGTGATGGATACTTCAGAGCACTAGGGGAGAGAGTTGGATTATTCATGGTATTTAAGGCTGAACTACATTCCAGACTAGATGTCAAAGCATGAAATTTGGCTTCCTGGGGTTAAGATGATAGAATTATATTGGAAGCCTTGCTTACTTTTTCTGCTATCCAGCTGATGGACTTAATCAGCAGAAAATATACCTTTTCATGATTAATGGAAACAGAAGACCAGCCCCTTACAGCATCTGGGATGGCAGAGAGGCCTTGTTCTTTCTCCCTCTCCTAACACCCCTGCTAAAGTGATAAATCTGAGGTAAATAGGTACCCATTAAAATATTTGCAGTTTCTAAATTGTCCTTGGGAGCAGAAGGCAAGGCTCAAAGTGGTAGACTGGTAAGCAGAAAGAAAATAAAAAGCATATACTGTATTTAGGAACCCTCCTCAGAAGGACTAAACCTGCCCACCACTAAGAAAGATTATTTTCATCTTTGTTTCATTGTTTTCTCTTTACTTTGTTTAATAGTCTTAATAGAAAACATTCAGAAACAAATCTACTTCTTTCTTTATACCAGTGGTTCTCAACCTGTGGGTCGGGACCCCATTTGGGGTCGAACGACCATTTCACGGGGGTCACCAAACAACACAGTCCGCCATTTTTTCCCCCTTTTCCTTAGCTGTGCTACTCCCTTTTATTCTATTGGCTTTTGAAAGCCAATAGAATAGACTCTCTTGAATAGAGTCTAATTCTATTGGCTTTCAAAGCCAATAGGAATTGTCCAGGCTGTCTCTGCCCTGCTGAGCCCGCCAAAAGTCCCAGTCTGCAAACGGTGCTGCAAGTTGTCTGCAGCGAAGGCGAGCTGTCTAGAAGTTTCCACCCCTCCCTGCTGAGCAACTACTAAAAATGTAAGTAAAAGAGAGCCAGGGGTGGGAGGTGGGAGGCCGGCGGGCGCAAGGAGGGTTGCTGGCGCGCATGGAGCCTGGTGGGTGCCTTACCTCCCTTGGGCTGGGCCAGCTGGTGGCCCAGCCGGTGGTTGGCCTGCGCCGTCTCTGCCGCTTGCCAGCTACCCCTCAGCCGGCGCAGGGGGAGGCACCACACATGCGCGGTGTTCCCGGGCAGGGAAAGTCCTCGACTTACGACCGGTTGGGTAGTCCTTGACTTACAACTGGTTGGGAGTCGCGGCATTAAAAAGGTTGAGAACCACTGCTTTATACTGTAGCTCCCTGCAAACTTTATTTATTTATTTTTTGGTTCGGCTGCAGCATAACTGAACAAAGGAAACCAGCTTTACATTCAGAAACAATAATTATATTAGTATTTCTGTGAGGCAAGCTACCTCTGTAAACAAATTACAATAGAAATGAATAAAGAATAATATAGACATATATTTCAAAAAAATAGTTCCCAGTTTTGAAACAAACTGTATATTATTAATATTAACACAAAGCGCATTCTAAGCATATTGGCAGTGATGGTGCAGAAGTTACACTACTTGGCTAATCAATATATTCATAAAGCCTTCTTCCAATGAATTAATTCTTACAGCTACCCCTACTTTACTTGCTCGTCAAGCTGCCTACCCTCTGTAGATGAAGCCTGTGGAACTGATCTGCAATGCACTGTAACTTCCGTGCAATCTGAACTTCGGTACGCAATTCCTGCAGACTTTCCTGAGGTTCCTCCTGGAGATGTGGATTCAATGTGAAACCAATTGGTTGGACATGTAAACGGTATCCAGCGTTTCCTGCCAAATATCATAGAAGAAGGTGTTTATATCATAATATGGTATGCCATCAACAGTATGACATTCAACAAATTTTTTGTTAATTGTTGTGCCTCTGAGTTAGCACTGACTGGCTGGATTAGGCCCTTCAGAAGTGGGTTTGCCATTGCCTGATTCATAGGGCTGAAAGAGAGTGACTGGCCCAAGGTCAACCAGGTGACTTTGTGCCTAAGTCAGGACTAGAATACATAGGCGTCTGGTTTCTAGCCTAGCACCTTAGCTACTACACCAAACTGCTTCTTTTAAATAATATAATTGGACTCTAATTCGGAATATTATACCCATGGCAACTAATATGATTTTAATCAACATTTAATTTAGTTTTGTTATTGCATCTATGCCCCACCTTTCTACCGGGAGTTAAAGCTGATACTCCCCTCATTTTTCCTTCACAACAACTCCATGAGGAAGATTGGACTGAGAGGAAGTGACTAGCTCAAATTTACCAGCGATCTTTATGCCAAGTCCCAATTCAAAACCATAACAACACACTAATTCCCTAATAGGAATTAAATTTGAATTGCAGTTAGTTACCAATTAATTTGAGAAGAGGACAACTTAGATTACTTTTCTTCTAAATTATTATTGCAGATGCTACTATTGGTCTATAAGGAACGAGAGCCTATAACACATCCTAGAAATGTCAACTGAGAGCAATTCATTCATTAATTCTGCATTTAAGATGCAAACCATTAATATATTTTTCATTCATCATCTACTTCTTTTTGTACTTTGAACTTTTTTTGGATAAACAGGTATTCCTCAACGTATGACCACAATTAAACCCAAAATTTATGTTGCTAAGTGAGACATTTTGCCCCCTTTTATGACCTTTCTTGCCACAGTTGTTAAGTGAATCATTGCAATTGTTAAGTTAGTAACATGGTTGTTAAGTGAGTCTGGTTTACCAATTAACTTTGCTTGACAGGTTGCAAAAGATAATTACATGATCCCAGGACACTGTAACCATCATAAATAGTTGCTAAGCGTCTGAATTTTGATCATGTTACCATGGGGATGGTTCAACGGTCTTAAGTGTGAAAAATGGTCATAGGTCCCTTTTTTTAGTGCTGTTGTAACTTTGAATGGTCACTAAATGAACTATTGTAAGTCGAGGATGACCTGTATTAGGAAGATTGTTTCTAAGTGACTTGGCACCAAAATCCAATGGAAGGTTTCATTGCTGCCAAATGTTGGCGAACAAAGACAAACTCTCTAAAACAAGGGTCTTCAAACTCGGCCCTTTTATGACTCATGGACTTCAACTCCCAGAACTCCTCAGCCAGCGTGCCTGGCTGAGGAATTCTGGGAGTTGAAGTCCATGAGTCATAAAAGGGCCAAGTTTGAAGACCCCTGCTCTAAAAGAATGCAAATGACCAGCTGTCTATAAGGAGTATAGATCCTTCCATTCCCCATCATTTCCCCAAAGGGAAACAAGAAAGTCCAGTTGCCTCATGAAAAAGCACCTTTGGGACATCCGTGCCCTGGATGACTGAGAATCTCCATAGACTAAGACAAGAGAGAACATATATGTCTTGAGGTACTGGCGGCCCAGACCTGCTCTAAATAAAATACACTGAACATGATGCAGGACCTCCCTGTATCTGTTTCAAGCAGAGCCAGGCAAAAGGTTCTGAGATAACTATCTGAAGCGGCAATTGCTGCTTTGCTCAAAAACGGCACAGTTCATTTAAAAAAAAGGGAACAGGTTATATCTGTCGTTCATTGCCTTTTTTTTTTTTTTTTTTTTTTTTTTGTTTCACCGTAGACTAAGGAGCAAGTATGATACTTACCATAAAAGAGTCTCTGAGGCTCTTCAGTGACTCCACAAGGTAACATGATATCCTGGCTGGAAGAGGATGCATTGAGGGTCTGTGTTGCCTTGTCCTGTTGTCTGGCATGCTTGCTGCCTGGGCCACAACAGTGTGCAAGTGGGAAGAGCTGGAACCTGCCCAGGAGGCAGTTGTAAGATTTGCTTTGGGTGAAAATGCCACGAAAGGCCATTTTGCTGGACTGACTGACCAGTTCACAATCATCCGAGTGGAACACATCGTCATCCAGGCCATCCAAATGGGAAAAATCATCTTCCAGGTAAACGGGGGGATCCATTTCCCCTGCAAAAAATATAATTAATAAGAATAATAAGAATATTACAAAGCTGGACAATATACTATTGAATAGCAGAATAAAAACATACAAGCATTTCATTTGTGCTGCCACACAAAGCTATTTCTGAATGCTGTCTGGGGAATAAAAGTTAATTGGTTAGGGAAGGAGGCTCTCTGACCCAGTTCTCCCTTCTTCTTTAAAACAAAATTCTGAAGCAAATGGGAAACAAAATGCCATTTAAAGTTCAGACTGTTTACAGTCTGGTCAGCCCTATGAAGAAAGTTAAAGGGGGAAAAAAAACAGCTTCCAGGAAAATTATTTTAGAATGCAAAGGCTATAAACCACATTAATGCTTTAACAAGCAAAAATCTCTCAAAAAATACTGTTCTAAATTCTCTACGCAGTTTTGAGAATTCATAATGGTATGGTATCTGAAAACATTGATTAATGTTTGTTAATCTAAATAATAGAGCCAGGGGATCCTGGGACTGAGTGTGCTACTCAAATTTACTAGGAAATACATCCAAGTACAGCTGGGTTTTGCCATTTTAATGCAAAGTCTTGAAAATGAACTACTTAAAGTTCTAAGTCTGCCATCGTAAATTTGGAATGGGGAGAAATACTTCTCATGTCCATAGGAGAACTAGAAAAAACATGTATCACACACATGCGCGGGCACGCACACACACACACACACACACACACACACCCTTTTTAAAAATTCTGCAGTGCAAAATGCATAGAAAAGTAAAATTTAAGGGAAAGTGTGCAATACATCTCTCTGTATCCATATAATATATATGAATGTCTCTCTTGTGCATCTGTGTATATAAACTCTACATGGCATAGGGCCAGGCTACTTATGGAACTGGCTTCCCCCAATCACATCAGCCCATCCCACTCATTCAGGCAGGGAATGCTATGGATCCCACCAGAATTTACACTGGTGGGATCTAGGAAGAGGATGTTTTCTGCTGCTGCCCCTGCACTGTGGAAGATCTTGCCCTTAAAGGTAAGGAAAGCCCCCAATGTCTTGGCCTTCTACAAAGGGGTTAAAACTTGGCTGTGCAGCCTTGCGTGGGCACACAGGGGCCCACCCAACCACGGAGGCTGGTTGGCCCCATGGGAACCTTTTCGTCTGTATTAACAACTGCTAACCTTTCCATCTTGGAACTCTCCATCTCTTGCAATTTTATAATGTTTATATTTTTTTAAAAAAAATAATCTTAAATCATTCTGTTATTAATGCTTAATTTCACTGATTAAATTGTACAGCACTCAGAGCCCTCCTCTGAAGGAGATGGGCCGTTAAGAAGTGTGAAATATAAATAAATAAACACCATTCATGGCGTGGGACCAGGCTATTTAAAGGACTGCCTTTCCCCATTTACATCAACTTGCCCCATCAGATCTCGCAGAGAAGGCATGCTGCAGATATCATTGGTCAGGGATCTACATTTGATGAATCCTATGACATGAGCCTGCTGTGGTGCCCGGCTTATGGAACATCCTTTTTCCCAAAATTAGATTGGCCCCATCCCTTTTGACATTCCATAAGACCCTGAAGATCTGCTTATTTGCCCAGACCTGGCTAGATAGCTCCACTATTGAGAGGGCCATTTCTTATTTTTCCTCCACTTTGATTACATTTTTAAGGATATTTATTACTATTTTTTTTATATTTGTATTCACTGTTTTTATATTTTTATTATCTATTGTTGTATGCCACCCAGAGGTACCTTGGTGAGACAGGCAGCTATATAAGTTTGATAAATAAATAAACTCCCAGAGACAAACACATTGTATGTTATATCCAGAAGCAGAGGGGATTTAAGCTGAGAAACTGGAAGAAATTAATCATCCTAGCTGATCTTGACAAAAGTGTTCACATCTAGCTGATCCAGTCAACACCTGATAAAGAAGAAAAGTGTAGTTCCGGGCACAGCTATGGGACAACCCAACTAGAATACAACTAGATGACAAACTAGAATGCATAAAGGAGGTGAATACAACTAGAATGCATAAAGGAGGTGAATAAAAATAAAAAAAGAAGCTAAAATGAAAGGAGTAACAGCAGATGTAGTGGGAAAAGCGCAAGAATGATCAAGAACTGGTCAGCATCAGGTGAAGGTGAATTGCATGGTTTGCGGTTGAAACATTTGATTGGTCTACACCAGGGGTAGGCAACCTTGGCTTTTTTATGACTCGTGGATTTCAGCAAGGTTGCCTACCCCTGGTCTACGCTTACCTGTTGCCAAGCAGTTTAATAACCTACTACAAGGAGGTGAAACTGAAGATTTGTTAACATCTGGCAAAATCTACCTGATAATGAAAGATCCAACAAAAGCAACTCAGAGCACATAAATTTAATAAATAAACAAACAAGCAAGGACCAGGCAACTACAGGCCAATTACCTGCTTATCAACAACTTTCAAATTGCCAACTGGTATGGTAGCTGATGAAGTCCAGCAGCATTTAGTTAAAAACAAGCTTTTTCCACCTGAGCAGAGAGCAAATTGCCCACACAGCAGAGGAACAAAAGATGAGCTCCTAATTGATAAGAAGGTTTTGGAACACTGCAAGAGAAGAAAGACCAACTTGAATGTAGCTTGGATTAATTACAAGAAAACATTTAACTCCCTACCACATGATTAGATAATCAAGTGCCTAGAAATAACAAGTAAGTAGAAGCATCAGAAGCTTTGTACAAAGATCAATGGCACAATGGAAAACACAGTTGCCAGTCAATGGTGATAGATTGGGAGAATTTAATTTCAAGAGATCCATCTTTCACGGAGACTCAATCTCACCACCAGTGTTTGTCATTGCTCTGATTCCTCGGTCAATAATACTGAACAAGTCAGATCATGGCTATCAAACATTAAAAACATCTCCCACCTTTTTTCCATGGATGATCAGAGGCTGTCTGAAAAACAACTGCTGAAATAGAACTGCTGCTCAACACTGTCCATATATGCAGTCAAGATATTAAAATAGGGTTTGGATAGGACAGATGTACCACTTTCACCATCAACAGGGAAAAATAGTGAAAACTGAAGGAATCAAAATGCCCTATGTGGAAATAACAATAGTCTGGATGAAAACCGTTACTACAAATACCTGGGTATTCTTCAACCTGACTATATCAAGCACAGTGAAATCAGGAAGAAAGTTAGAAGTCAATATATCAAGACAGTAAAAGTTTTAAACACCAAAATCATTAGAAGGAATGCCACCTGGGAAATTCCACAGCTGGAATAGTGGCCTGGACTCAAGCAGAAATAAAAGCCCTGGATAGGAAAACAAGAAAAACAATGATAATGAATCATGGCCTTCATGCATGTTGACAAACTCTATGTACCAAAGAAAATGAGCAGGTATGCAATATTGCCAGTACACCAGACAGCTGAAGAAGAAAAAGGGGAATTGGAAGAATACCTAAAGGACAATGAAGAATAGAATAGAATAGAATAGAACAGAACAGAATAGAATAGAATCTTGGAGATCTTCAAGTCCAGCCCCCTGCTCAAGCAGGAGAATCTATACCAGTGATGGCAAACCTTTTAGAGACTGAATGCCCAAACTGCAACCCAAAACCCACTTATGCATCGTCGGGTGCCGGATGGGTGGGGCCAATTGGGTGGGTGTGGCCCATTGAGTGGGCGTGGCTGCAGTGGTAACAGCAGACTGGGTGGGACTAAAAAGTTCAATCAATCAATTTCAACTTTGCAAGATCTTTTTTTCCCCGTGAAAAGCTGAAATTGACTGATTGATTGAACCTTTTTTTTTTTTTTTTTTGCACACGGCGGCGGAGGCCTAAAGCGAAAAGTTTTTATAAACCCCAGCTGAAGGCCTAGGACTGGGGCGATGGTGCGTGTGCCCACAGAGAGGGCTCTGAGTGCTGCCTCTGGCACCCGTGCCATAGGTTCGCCACCACTGATCTATACCATTTCAGATAACTGAACCTAGTATACCAGGAAAGCTGACTGAGACCTGGATAGACTAAATTGGCCTACAAGAAAGACCAAGATGAAAAACAGAAAAGAGATGTGGCAAGACAAAGTATAACATGGTCAGTACATTAAAAAAAAGCAGGCAAAGCAGACCTGGCAATGGCTAAGAGCATGAAAATTGAAGAAAGAGACAGAGGGGCTAATTCTGGCTGCATAAGACCAAGCTTTAAAAGCAAATGCCTTACAAAGCTAAAATTGAGAAGACAACAACAGATAGCAACGGACAGCAAGTGCACCCTCTGCAAAGAAGCCAAAGAAATAATGGACTAAAAATAATGGCATGATACAGTAGCCACAATGGTGCATTGGAATATCTACAAGAAATACCTTTTGCCTCCAAGCAAGAACTGGTGAGACCACAAAAGAGACAAAACCATAGAAAATGAAGAACTAAAGTGCACTGGGACCTTGAATTCAAACAAATAAACATCTGCCACACTACACCTCATATATAACAATTGTTGATAACAAAGACAAAAAAGTCTGGATCCTAGACATGGCAATACCTGGAGATAGCAGAATAGAAAAGAACTGGAGAAAGTCACAAAACATAAAGACCTGCAAATAAAAGTAGGACAATTGTGGCAAAAGTAAGCAAAGCACCAACAGTAATAGTCCCAAAACCAGCTGAACACTATCATCTCTGACAAAAATCACCAGTCAACTTCATAAGGCAACTTTATTTGGAACAGCTTACATCCTGTGACTGTACCTTTAACACCATCATCTTGTTCCAGGTTGTTAGAAAGAACTTGATAGGTGGATAAAAATGCCAAATCCAGTCTAAACATCTGGCTGACTATGCAATGAACCATTATAATTTATTAAATTTGTATGCTGCCTGATTCCCAGTGATTTTTTTTACAGCAAAAGGCAACAATCTCTCCTAATGGCAATTGAAGAAACATCACACAGTTCTCATCCTTATTAATGACTTCCCACAAAAAAAGTGATTTTAAATTGTCTTTAGGAAAGGAGAAATCTTGTTTCCTTTTTGCCCACCAAAATGTTTTTCTTTGCCAGTGTGTTTCACGCAACAGTCAATTCCATCTGCTTGTTTCAGCTAGGTTATCCTTCTCCCCCCCCCCACCAAATGTGATTTAATGTTAGGGTTACTGATTGATGGTTGACAGTTATCTCTATGAATTTATGTATCCATGCTATAAACACAAGGATGCTGTACCAACTGGCAACATCCGCAGCAGGACGTGAGATTTTAACATTAGTAATGGGCAAAAAAAGGAACAAGAGCCAAAAGAAAGATAAAAAAATATATATTTTGAAAACAGCCAATCATGGAGAATGGAGAAAAGGGCTCAGATCTATTTCTAGCAGATAAAGAAAAAGAAAAAAAGCACTGTTGGCAAGCATTATAGTAGAAGGAGCTTTGCTGGGACTCATCTATTCTGCAAAAAGATAAAGGACACAGCACAGAGTCCAGAGCCAGAAGATGCTGCCAGAGGAAGAAGAAGTGGTATCTCTCTGCAAGGAGTCCAATTAATAATAATAAAGTTGGAAGGGACCTTGGAGGTCATCTAGTCCAGCCCCCTACTCAGGCAGGAAACGCTACATCATTTCAGACAAATGGCCATCCTGTCTCTTCTTAAAGACTTCCAGTGTTGGAGCATTCACCGCTTCTGGAGGCAGGTTGTTCCACTGGTTAGTTGTTCTAACTATTTGGAAGTTTCTCCCTACTTCTAGGTTGCTTCTCTCCTTGATTAGTTTCCATCTGTTGCTTCTTGTCCTGCCTTCTGGCACTTTGGAGAATAGCTTGACTCCCTCTTCTTCCTGGCAGCCCCTGAGATATTGGAACACTACTATCATGTCCCCCCTTTAACTGATTCATGAACCTCAAGAATCAGCCAGAAGACTGAGGAAATCAAGCTTCCCTGGACACTTATTTTTTTTATTTAAAAAGTTTTATTAACAATTAACAGAATAAATCCACTAACCCACCCATCCCCACCCTCCTACCCCCCTCCACTTCCCAGAGCCGAGTACAGGGTTATTACAAACATATTAAACTTAATCTAATTAAATTTAACAAATAGGTTAAACATAATCCAATTAAATTTAACAATTTATACAACAACTAAATTCATACTTAACCCTTAACTCCTTTTAAACCTTAATAACATATTATAAATAAATCCATTTTTAAACAATTATTATAAAAAACCATAATAACAATAAATAAACTAAATAATTCCAATTATAAAATACTATTAATAATACTTATTATATTAAAATTTAATCATAAAACAAATGGAACTTTTTAGTTCCATATTTAATCTGAATATAATCTATCCATCTTCTCCATACCATAATATATCTTTCTTGTGTATGATCCTTTAAATAAGCAGAAATTTTAGCCATTTCTGCTAAATTAGAAACCTTAAGTGTCCATTCTTCTATAGTAGGCAACGAATCTTTCTTCCAATATTGACCTATCAATAGCCTTGCTGCTGTTATTAAATTAAATTAAATTAAATTAAATTCTCTGGACACTTCTTAATGCCATATTGCATTACCTATTTATATTTATTCACATGTATGGCTACATAAATATTAATGGAGTCTGTTTACGTACTGAAAAGATTGAGAGATAGTCCTCAACTTGCAACAGTTCCTTTAGTGACCGTTCAAAGTTACAACGGCATTGACAAAAGTGACTTATGACCATTTTTCACACTTACAACCGTTGTAGCATGCCCATGATCACGTGATCAAAATTCAGACGCTTGGCCACTGGTTCACACTTATGACCATTGCTGGGTCCAAAGGTCACATGATCACATTTTGCAACCTGGGGAAGCCAGATTCACTGAACAACCGAGTTGCTAACTGATCAACTGCAATGATTCACTTCACCACTGTGGCAGGAAAGGCCGTAAAATGGGCTTCACTTAGGAAATGTCTCACTTAACAACGAAAATTTTGGTCTCAATTGTGGTCGTAAGCTGAGGACTACCTGTATTTAGATATCTGCAGTTTGTACTATGTGTCTGTAGATGGCAACGTTCGGGAGCTCTTGGTGGAGTGTTGATTTTCTCCTTATAAAATATCTTGGCACTGGCTTTGAGAATAAACTATTCTCAGAATGGTTTGCAAAGTTTTAAAAAATGGAAAAAGCACAATGTACCAAAATGAGAGTTATGATTGGCTGTTTTTTTTAAAAAAAATTTTTTAAAGCAAGTACAGGTAGTCCTCAACTTACACCCATTCATTTAGTGACCTTCAAAATTGCAACGGCACTGAAAAAAGTGACTTATGACTGTTTTTCATGCTTGCAGCATCCATTGCAGCAATCCCCATGGTCACGTAATCAAAATTTGAATGTTTGGTAACCCGTTCATATTTATGACAGTTGCAAGTCCTAGGATTACATAATCACCTTTTCTGATAAGCAAGGCCAGATTCACTTAACAAGCATGTTACTAGCTGAAAAACTGCAGCGATTCACTTAACAACTATGGTGAGAAAGATTGTAAAATGGGGCAAAGCTCACTGAACAACTGTCTTGTTAAACAACAATTGTGGTCATAAGTCAAGGACTATCTGTACTACTTTTGGTAGCTACTTAAACTGGGCTGCCAAAATCCAGATGCCAATAATGTATAGCAAAGGGATACTGAAAACTAGTTCCTCAATGCTGCTATTTAGTGATCACCAATACTGAAGTATTGTTTGAAACAACAGCAACAACTCTAGGCTGTAAAATAAAGATGGGAGACTGTTTCTTAAAGAACAGAATGAAATGTTCAGTTCTTTCAAGAGCTGTTTAAACACCTAGTTCACATATAATGCTATTCCATCACTTGGTTTGTTTCTGTTTGACTTCGTAGATTGTGTGAATCTAGCTATTATGGCTAAGTGATGACTGCTGTAGATCAATTACCAGCGATTGGTACCCCAATGAACCAAACTACTAGAAACTTTAAAAAAATCTTTGTATCTCCCCCTTCAAAATCTAATACACATTGTAATTTGGCAGCTTGTGTAATCACGCAACACTCCACTGTAGATTATTCCATCAGGTAAGGACAACTGCACAACAAACTTTTGCTGCTGTACCCAGCCAACATTTGATTCTTCAAGCATATTTTGGTTTTTTTTTTAATATAATCTTATTGAAAGTGTAAATGAGTATGAATTAACACAAACTAAAATAGAGTAAAATCAAACAAAGAAGAAAAGAAGAAAAAAAAAGCTAAAGTGCAAAAAGACAAAAAGGTAGAAGAAAAACAGAAAAGAAAAAAGAAATAAAGAAGTGGTTTCTTATTTTCATTTCAGCAGTTATACATACAATTTTAGATTTACATCTTTCTCTAAGTTATATCATAACTCTCTTTTTTCTACAATTCATCCTATTTAGTTGTCCAAACCACAGATCATAAGTTCATTTTTTTCTGTTTTACACAAAATATCTGTGAGGCATTTTCAGTCAGTAATAAATGTTTGATTAAAAAAAAAGACAAGATCTAAAAAAAAAGACAAGATCTGTGAGGCATTTTCAGTCAGTAATAAATGTTTGATTAAAAAAAAAAGACAAGTCAATTTGGCTGCCTCAGCAAGTTCTATCATATTCACCAACCATTCCTTGGTATTGCCCAATCTTTGAAGTCACATTTTTTTGAATGTGAACAGTGCCAGGGCCCAGACCTAAGATCAAGTAGAGAAGGAAGTGGTTTACAGTTTCTGGATTGGAGATTAATTTTCCCATTAACTGGATTTTGGAAGATCACCTTGTGCAATCTCACTTTATAGAAAGACGAAAACCCTGGTCAGCAAACCTGTTCAATCAGGCTGACTAAAGAACAATAGGAGTGAATTGACTTCAGAATCGGCTTAGGGACAATGACGGTGCAAAATTATTTTTGCAGAACTGTTTTAGGTATGTAACAAGTGCACTTAAATCTAAGCATAAGATCTAAAACCTTATTGAATTAAGAAACAAAACTCAGTTATCTAGCATCTAGATAACAGAGTATACTTATAATAGCGAAGAATGCAGTTGTTTAGAAAATCTCTAACAAAATTTATAACCTCAAACAAATGCTATACCGGGATCCATGGCCATGTCTTCACTGAGCGTACAATTTTAATGACATCCATCCAGGCAAGGTATAGGCAATTTCTCTCCCATTGAGTTACATTTAAAGAAAAAAAATGTTTTTGAATGATGGCTCTTGAATCAATAACCAGTCTGCCCACAACAGAACATGTAAACTATGTAACTCCATGCCCAATCATAGTAACCACCATATAAATATCCCTTGGCAAAAAGGATTAAATATACAGCTGAAATGGTGGCATAGGATGGCATGGATTTATTTTTCTCATCCCATGCCAGTGGAGTGGGAAGTGAAAAGAACATCCCAAAGTAAGCCAACAGCAAACCCCTTCCACATCGTACTATACCAAGAAAACTGCATAGAAATACTCATGTAAGTCACTATAATTGAGCTTGACTCTGAGATCATATTATGCATTCTCAAGAGCTTATATAAAGAAAGTCTGGCAAGCAGAAACAGAGTTTTAAAAAGTGTTTTTCATAACAGAACATGCTGCACAAAAAAGGAGGCACTTCGCAAAACTAGTGTCTCTTGAGCACATCTGGCAATGTGCTCAATTTATACTTTCACTCTAGCAACCGAAACCACTGGGATAGATAAGAAAAGGAAACTGTGCTATTTCTTCTGGCCTCAGGCAGGAGTTTGTAGGAATCAGGGCAGGGATTTTGGTTGGCCTAACTGGCCAGGGTAAATGGAACTACTCAAGTAGCATCCATCAGCCAAAAATAATAAAAACAAGAGGATGAAAGAAGCCAGAGGAAGATTGGTGTGGTTCTGAGGCTTGGCTATTTTGTGGGCAGAGAAAGTGTTATCTGGAGGCTTAGACTATTTCCTATAGTTTCCCAGAAAGCCTTGGGAACTCCTTGACTATGCTATTCTGAGACATGGCTTAGAGACATTATAGATTATTGTAGACTAGAGGTTGCATTATAATGCCATCTTCAAGTTGACAAGGTTCAGCCCCTTGTCAATGTGGAGGTGTTAGCTAGTGGTAATGTGAATGTGGAGGTGTTAGCAGGTGATAATTAAATAGAATGAAGGGATAAGTAGCAAGGAAGAGGGGAAAAGCCCTGAACAAGTCAGTGACACTGAAATGCAGGCACGTCAAACTGCCAGCCCATGGGCCGGATGCATCACGCCGAAACCGTACTCACCCCATTGCCGGCACTGGGGGAAAAGTCGCGATACGTTGCTCGACGTCATGTGACATTGTGAGTTTGACATGCTTGCTGAAATGCACCAAGATGCATAGATCTTGCAAAACAGACAACTCTTTTCCTGAAATCCCAAATCCAAACGTTATATGTACTGTACCTAAAAAATGCCCTCCACCCAATAAATAAATAAAGAAAACATCTATAGAGCGTTATCTCATTTTAATAAGCTCTCAAAATGCTTGGCCTATTAAAACCAAAAGTGTTTGTTGATGCATATTTAGGTTATAGATTATAACAGACGGTGCATTGATTTTTGAACATCTTGAGGCCAACAATTAGTCTTTCATGATTCTCTCAACGCTACCTTAATTTAAATACACACAAAGCACACAAGAATTCTCCAGATCTTTAAAAAGTGAAATTCAGTATTTGGATTATTTATTCTGCTGTGGTTTGTTTAATCTAACTTGCAATTACTGATGAGATCTAACAAGTCTGAAATCTATTGTAAATTTACTTAGGAGTCGGAGGGTTTATTGCAATCTAAGGGATTTTCTTTTGAGTATGCACATACAGAACTGGGCTATAAATCTTGTTCAGATTTGAGTATCTGTATATAAAAGTATTTAAAGTTTAAAATAACACCTCCCAACCTAAACTCTAACCCGAACTTTCACTAGATCAAAAGACTTGGTCTTAATTTCATTTGTAGTGTACTACAGCCCGCATATTTAAAGCCCAGGAAACAACACTTTTATGTACTGTATTGCAATTCTAAGTTTATTTAACTTTAAACAATTTTTTATTCTACATTAATAACAGGTGCCATAATTATAATACTTTACAACTAGTGAACAAAAGAAGGGCTACAGTCAGGTACAATACAGAATACACACAACAGAATTATTTCAAGAATCATTCTTCTTTGTTGGTAGATAGTTATTGCCAGGGCTTTTTTTCTCATAGAACACCCAGAACGGAGTTCCGGCACCTTTTTTGGATGGAACCTTGTAGGGTAGGCAAGGCGGGTTGTATGACGTGTGTGAGTTCCAGCACCTTTTTTTTTAAAGCACTGGTTATTGCCATATCTTTTTTTCTTCAGAGTTCTAAATAATAATAAAAGTTGCTGTTACTAGAATACATACAAGTTGTTATACTGTAAGCAAAGTGCCAATCAATCTTTCTCTACAAAAACTGAACTAGTTTCCACAGAAGACCTATCAATATTGTTAGAAAATAAAAATGGCTGGGTTCTACCTGCCCACATGTTAGACAACAGAAATCTCAGATAAAAGGTGGATAGGGTTTACAGTTCTTCAATGTAACTTCTGATAAATAGAAGTTTTTGTGAGGTGGACCTTTACCATGCAGCCAAATCACACTCACAGTAGTCAAATATACTCCTGAAATAGAAAAGATTCCTACTACTATTTTTAAAGATGCAGCTGAATGCACATTTATTTGGAGGAACAGTCCTGCTGAACTCAATAGGCCTTACTTCATAAGGTAAAACTATCTAGCTTTAAGCCTAAGCAAAGCAGCTGAAAGTAAAGCACACCCTTATTAAAATAAAATAACTTCCAAACACCTTGCTGTATTCCTAACACAATAAAACTCAAATTTGTAGAACATGTACTGTTTATAGATAGTCTTCACTTACCAACCAAATTGGGACTGGCAACTCCATTGCTAATTGACACTGGCATAAAGTGAAATATCACAGGACTGTGCCTGACTTACATCAGTTTGTCACTTCTGGCTGTAATTGTTAAGCGAATCACCACAGGTTCTTAAGTGTGATGTCACTTGACCCCAATTTGTGAGTTCCTGCCAACTTCTCCATTGACTTTGCTTGTTGACAGATGGCTGTGAAGATCACAAAAGGCAATCATGTGATTGTAGCACTCTCCAATTATCATAAATGCACACTACAGTAGTTACCTAGAGTCCAAATCGTGATCATGAGACCATGGGAACAATGCAAAGGCTGAAACTTTGAGGACTGATCACAAATCTCTGTTTTCAATGCTGTTGTAAGATGCTGAATGAGTGGTTGGAAACAAAGAACTTTGGAAGAGACAGAGTAAAAACTGAAAACAGTGATAGGAAATTGTTCTATGGCATGGGACTAAGGAAATAATTAGCTTTCCAACTTGACTTTTTAAATATTATTAAATGCATATCTGTCTTTCTATTTACTTTAATGCTCAAGGTGATTATCAACAAGTGAAAAATATGGAATATGAAAGATTAAAAATAAGTAAAACCCAAACCAAAATGAAAATCAATCACTAAAATAATTAATAATCAAAAACTTGCTAAAAATACATTTTTTTTTCATCTTCCTAAATACTGAAAGAGTTGGAGCCAAATATAGCTCTTTAGAGAATTATTTCCAAGCTTGGAGCCATAGAGAAGGAGATTCTTTCCCACAAAGATGAGCTGTGACAATGGGGCATCTTGAGAAGGGTCTCGCCTACCAATCTGAGTAACCCGAAAGGAGTTTCCCAGGTAATCTAGCAATAAGCAGTTTAGGGATTTAAAGGTCAGTGCTGCCATCTTCAATTGTGCTTGGGGCACATTTAGCAACCAATGCAGATTTTTTTTTGTGCAAACAACACCATTCCTATATTGCATACCAGACCAGAAGCTAGCTGTTTCATTTTGCACCAACTGCAACTTCGGGATACTTTTCAAGGATCGGCCCAAATAAATAAGAAGAGTTGTAACCAAGGTGCAAACTATTGTCACTAAATTCCACTGGCTCAGGAAGGATTCCAGCTGTACCCTAGCCATAATTGTGCGAAGCGCTACTCATTGCAGCTGCCATCTGCAAATCCAATGACAGCTGATGGTCAACTTTTTCTTGGGGAATGCAGTCCCATCCAAAAAAGGGGGCATCATAGTTCCAGAGTCCAGCTTTCTTCTTGCCAATGGTATCTCTGACTTGTCTGGATTTAATTTCAATTTGCTCAATTTCATTCTGTGAAGAAGTTCTTTTGACTGATTCTGAATCTCACCTTCCCTCGTGTTTGAGCAGAATGAAATCCAACTCAACGTTTGCCATGCCATGCACCTTGTTTCCACTGTATTTCTTTTAACAGCCTTCCCCACCTTGGAGTAAAGAACTCCCAAATGCCTTAATTTTTTTTTATTATTTCATTTTACTCCATTTATGTATCTGCTCTAAGTTGTGAATGGAAGAAAGGGTGGCAGAAATGAAACATGAAAAATGGAAAGGACAGAACAATGTTCTGAACTATGAGGAGAGTGGGAAATGAGTTGTTTTGCCCTTTCCTCAAAGACCTCATGTTGCAGAATGCCTAAGTTGGAAAGTTCCTTTAAAATCATCTAGTCCAGTGTTTCCCAAACTTGACAATTTTAAGGCCTGTGGACTTCAACTCCCAGAATTCCACAGCCAGCATTGCTGGCTGTGGAATTCTGGGAGTTGAAGTCCTCATGCCTTAAAATTGTCAAGTTTGGGAAACACTGATCTAGTCCATAGGTAGGCAACCTTGGCTCTTTTATGACTTGTGGACTTCAACTCCCAGAATTCCTGAGCCAGCAGAGCACAGCTGGCTCAGGAATTCTGGGAGTTGAAGTCCACGAGTCATAAAAGAGCCTACCCCTGATCTAGTCCAATCTCATGTCTAGCATAGGAGTCCATGTCTATAACATCTTTTATATACCACCATCCAGTCTGTTTAAATATTTCCAGCAAAGGAAGAGTCCACCCCCTCCCAAGGCATTTGTTCCACTCTGCTTCTACTTTTAGGGCTTTTTTAAAATCCTAATGTCCAGATGACTTTGACCTCCTTGTCATTTCAACCCATTATCTTTTCTTCCATCATCTGGGATAGGACTTTGAGTAACTCTGCCCCATAACTGTTCTGATACTTGAAGACAATGATCATATCTCTCTACAACTGCCTCTTCTCCAGGTTAAACATAGTAAAAATCTTGCATGTATAATTAAGACTTTTATCCAGTAAGTATTCATAACAATATCTATCACCATAGCCAGGGTTTTTAATGTATAACCTAGAGAGAAAGAGGTCTCTCAGTACAGATCCTATGTTCGTAACTATGTTACGAACAATATTCATTTACCACACACTATGCATAAGAACTTTTGTGTTCAGTGGGGGCTCATCTTGAAATAAGAGTCCATGAGTCTGTGAGGTTCTGAACAGTTAGCAATATGGAAAAAAACAGAACTGGAGCTTGGGAACTCATCACTTTCTTTTAGGCTGGGGTCACAGATCACTATAAATCATGATTCATTTAGCCATGGTTTGTGGAATAAACCAATGTCGTGAGGGTTCTTGTATCTTGCTAAATCATAAGCTATATTTCATAAGTGACAATAGTTGGATTTGTGCTATACACTGAGCCAAAAACAAACACACTTCATTCGGTTTAGTGTGATGTGTGTAGACAAACACACTTCATTCGGTTTAGTGTGATGTGTGCAGTTATGGGGCCAATCCAAGATCCTTGAAAGTAGGACAAATTATAAATATGTTTTGAGCAGAAGACCAAGGTTTATGTAGTCCCTTCTTACACTATGTCTATTATTTTTATTTTCCAAGAATGCCTATGTGAAATGCAAGGACACTCTTGAGAAATGAAAATAAGAATTAAAATAATATTTTTAAAAAATAAGAAGAGTGGGGCAGAAAGTAGCAAGAAAAGTGTCCATAAATACACTGGTATCCAAAAGCAACATCCTGGGATTTAAGTGTACATGATGCAATTATATTGGTACCATTCAGCACATCTGAGCACCTGGACTGGAATCCCCTGAAAGTCCCAAGCAAGCAGTTTTATATTTCCTGAAATGCTATAGAAGCATAATAAATAACCATCATGCTCTTTGGAAAGAAGGAAATCAATTCAGCAACCACCTTCACAACCCCGAATGTGAAAGAAAGAAACTAATTCTGCAGTTCTTTCCACTTGGAAACACCTGTTGAGGAACCATACAATGCAGGCATTCTTCCATTACCTCTAGCATTCTCCCAGGGGAAAAAAAATCAATATACAACCACTTGCCTTCGTTCAGGAATGGAAGAAAAAGGAAGAGAGTGGGGGAGGACATAACACGCGTGCATGCCAGTTAACCAAAACAAAGTGACAAGCTGGTTTCATGATCTCTTTAGCTCTTCCTTTTGCCTTCTTCCCTGTGCTTAAATGACTCAATCATAAATTATCTTTAAGGCTGAAATGCATTATATCAGCCCAGGAAGAGATCAAACCAAATGTTTACAGTGAAAAAGAGAAGGGAGGGGGGGAAACAGATAACTCATAAGTTATCCAAATGAGTCAACAAAAAGCAATACCTTACTTACAGCATCCATGGTACATGAAATTCATTGAGTCTTTCAGTACTAAAATTTCATTTGTAGCACATTTGTGACCACAAATGTCTCTTTCCTATTTTGCAGAATATAAATTTGCATTTCCTAATGATTCTGTGGGAACTATTTCAGACAGCTATATAGTCTTGGTATCCGAACAACTATTTCAGTAAATGACAAATGATCTTAGTTTTAGGCATACAGAAAAGACGGGATGGAAACAATCATGAACCATTGGCACAAATTTTAGCCACAGTGGTCCTAACCAGTTTGTTGTACTTATATCTTGGACAACTTTAATGGCCAACAGACAAAAATCAAAGAAAAGACGTTTTAATCTTTGGGTCCTGCTTGTCAAGCAGTACTGAAAGCCATTTAGCCATGACAAACCCCCTCCCCCCACTTTTACTTAGGCCAAGTAAGGACCAAGTTATTATGACTTGGAAAGTTAACTTCCTTAATTCTTCAAGTTGAAGAATCCGCTGATGCCTGCCTCTCTAACGAAGGCTCTCGAGGGACTCGCTTTTTTCGTCCCAGTCCTTTCCTCACTAAAGAAATCCAAATCCCAATGGGCGATGAGCACAATGTGATTTAGAACTTATACAAAGCAGAACTTATAAATACAAACAACACAGTTGTCACTCAAGTGCTCGTTTCTCCCTCCCCTCCCGCCCTCCCCCCAATACTGACCTGTTGCCCCGACTTGCGCCTCTGCCTGGGCAGAACAGTTGCAGAAGCTTCCGATCGGACCCCGGAGACAAGAGACGGGAGCCCTTGGTCACCTATTCAAAGCGGCGATCTGCGAACCCTCCTAAACGGATCCCGCTTTTCATCTGGTCCGCTCCTGAAGCGCCAACAAGAGCCGCCAGCGGAAAGAGCGGGAGCCGGAAAGTCCCCGGGCTGCAACCTGAGACGCCGCCGCCGCCGCTAGCACCACACGGTATTGTTTCCAAAAAGACACTCGCTTCCTGGCATTACCCGCACAGCTGATGAAAGACACGCCTCCCCCCGTGACGTCAGAGAGGGGGTCTCGCCAATGGGGAGCGGCAGGCGCGCATGTTCCCAGCTCGCGGCGTTCGGGGCTGTCACAACGTGGGTAATTTGTTGAGTCCGGCTCGTGATCTCGGTTCACAGCGAGACTGGAGCTCCAGCAGAGCCGTTTCTAAAGCCCGCTGGCTCAAGACGGGGCGACCCCCCTCCTTTCCCCAAATCACGGCGCTGAGATTGCGAGAATTAGTTGGAGACCCGTAGGCAAAAGAGTTTGCCCCAAACCTTACCTATTGGTTGCCCTTGCATTCCACCACAAGCCTAACGTCGCGATCTGTGGAAGACAGGGCAAGTCCAGACTTGCAGAGAAGCGATTCTTGTGCGATCCTTAACGCCTTCGTTTTTTCGAGTTCTAAGGATGGGCATCGGGTTGAGCTGTTCTCGTGGTTTCTGGGGACTTTTGGTTGTTTGCAGTCCTCCTGAAACGTATAGGGTCTCCTGCTCGAGCAGGGGGTTGGACTAGAAGACCTCCAAGGTCCATTCCAACTCTGTTATTTTATGTTTTATGTCCTCAGCCTGATGTCCATTTGCTAAGACTACAGTTCCCATCTTCTTCAGCCAGAAGAGTGACTGGAGATTAAGGGTATATGGTAATGCAATATATTGAAGGATGCCAGACTGAGGAAGACTGGATATTTGTTTTTCCTTGGTTGGTGCCCCCCAGATTAGGCACCTACAAATTGCCAAATAAAAAGGAAAAACTTTTAGCTGTACAATAGTAATCCTAGATGAAATTAAGTGAGAGGGCACAAAGAACTGTTCCTAAGTTGTTTCGGGTATTAAAAAGATGAACTATATGGCTTTTAAACAGGGAGGTTTAATTTAGTTGTGATAGTAGATAACCTTTCATAAACTTACCCTCCCAGGATTTGATTTAAACTGTTCTAGATATAATTTCCTTCTAAAAAACCCCATTGCTTTTGCTTTTTATGTACCTTGAAGAATTCCCAGTGGATAGCCTTCAGTACTTACTTCCCTCCATTGTGAGAGCTGTCAATTTATTCTTACCCTTGCTTCCTGTTTTGAAACCACTTGCTGCTCTATAGGAGGAGTTTGCCTACTTCGTGAAACATATTTTTTTTCTAAATAGTCATGCATAGAACTTTATACTAGCAATATTAATATAAAACCTGCCATCTTTCTCTTTCTTTCCTAAGAAGGAACCTGTATTTTGCCTAATATAGGACACAGATCCAGATAATATTTTCATTTATTAGATTTGGAGACCATCCAACTCCAAGCTTAGTCTGGTCAGTTTATCATTTTAAAAACAGAAAAACACAAGGCAAACATTCATACAATATCTATCCATCCATCTATCTATCTATCTATCTATCTATCTATCTATCTATCTATCTATCTATCTATCTATCTATCTATCTATCTCAGTGGTTCTCAACCTGTGGGTCGGGACCCCATTTGGGGTCGAACAAGCATTTCACGGGGGTCGCCAAATAACGCAGTCCGCCATTTTTTTCCCCCTTTTCCTTAGCTGTGCTACTCCCTTTTATTCTATTGGTCTTGAAAGCCAATAGAATAGACTCTCTTGAATAGAGTCTAATTCTATTGGCTTTCAAAAGCCAATAGGAATTGTCCAGGCTGTCTCTGCCCTGCTGAGCCCGCCAAAAGTCCCATTCTGCAAACAGTGCTGCACCAGTTGAGTAGTCCTCGACTTACGACGGGTTGAGTAGTCCTCGACTTATGACCGGTTGGGGGTCGCGGCATAAAAAGGTTGCGAGCCACTGCTCTATTTAGTCACCAACATGGTTCTACAGCCACCTAACATTAGGCCTGGGAGAAGATACATGTTTTTAAAGATCTTCAGAAGATCATTCCGGAGGCCAGGTGCCATGACAAAGAATTATTTATTTGAATAGTTCTGAAGAGAGCAAGTGGGCCTGATTTTACTAAATGGTCAAAAACATGATGAGATAGGCAGTCCCTCAAAACTCCTATGCCATGAAGGACTTTATAGTTAATAATTGGAATCTTGAACAGCACCAGAAGCTCACCAGCAACAAGTGCAGTTTACAGAGCACTGGTGTCACAAGACACAACACTTCCTGCACCACTGCATTCTGGATTAGGCCATTAGTAATTCTATGATATAATCTGAAACCTTCATACTATGTTTATTAGATTTAGGTCCTATATTTTCGTCTATCTTTCATTTTAACAGTATGTCTCTATAAAATATCCTGTCTCTGGAATTGTACCCTAGTTCAGTGGCTCTCACCACAGGGGGTCTGCGAAGGCTTGAAGAATTTTTATGATTTAAATCTTGAGTTAAATCTTGGGGGTCCATGGCTATGGTCTGTGGCCACAAAAGGTATTTCAAGGGGGTCCGTGATGAAGAAAAGATTGAGAACAACTGCCCTGGTTTGTAGAGTCACATCAATCCTTTGCTCAATTCCTATAGTACAATGTTTCTCAACCTTGACAATTTTAAGGCATGTGGACTTCAATTCCCAGAATTCCACAGCCAGCAATGCTGGCTGTGGAATTCTGGGAGTTGAAGTCCACATGCCTTAAAATTGTCAAGGTTGAGAAACACTGCTATAGTAACTATTTTAACTTTGATAATGTTAAGCATCAATTGAATGATAGTCTCCCAGAAGATGGCTTTCAGGGCTGTGCCACTGCCACCAGGGTTAATAGCCATGGATCTCTTTCCCACCAGCTCCCACTTTAAAAAGACAGGATGAGCTCTTCTGTGTTAGATAGAATGTGAAACAGGAGAAGAACGTCTCATCTTAAGGGGCAGGAGATAGTAGTCTGCTAATTGTGTCCCTTGTTCCCATGTAACACAGCTTCACGGCATTCCCACAATAGCCACTTATCTTGGAGAATCTAAAACAAAAATATTGTGACATTCTGCATTCATTTTTTCTGCACTGCAGCGTTCCTGTTTTACCTGGGAGAAAGAATGGCATGTTCCCAGATCCAAAATGCACAGCCAATGACTAGGGGAAATGGTATCTCCTTGCAACTTATATCATCTCAAATCAGACATCAGATAACTAGATAACTCTATAGAAGAGACAGGTATTTGTGCAAAACCCTGATGTTTAAAAAACACCCCTTAGAACAGTGTTTCTCAACCTTGACAATTTTAAGGCATGTGGACTTCAACTCCCAGAATTCCACAGCCAGCAATACTGGCTGTGGAATTCTGGGAGTTGAAGTCCACTTGCCTTAAAATTGTCAAGGTTGAGAAACACTGCCTTAGAAATACCGTGGGCTGTTTTTCTTTGAACTTACCAGTAGAAGGCAACATAACCAACACACAGGATTGGTTTTAGCACTTTTCAAATAAAAAGTACAGTATATTAAGACACTATTGGTTCTTTAAGATTCATCATCTTCTTCAGAGGAAATATTTGAATTCACTTTTGCTTCTTGGGGAGAGTGATTTTAAAAGTGTTGGCCAGATTTCTATAATTACATTTATTTGTTTGTTTGTTTTTGTTTGTTTGTTTATTGTTTTAAAAAAATGACAGAAAAATAAAAAAACACAAAGATCAAAATTCACGCATTGTCCAAGAAAAAAAAACACATAGAAAGTATATTTTTTTAAAAAATGAAAAATTGCAACAAAATTAAAAAATGTATATTATTTTAGTTGTAAATAATTACAATTCTAAATATAGCTATCTAATGCAATTGTTCAAGTACATATGTATAATACATTTATATAACTATATATAGTAATTTACCTTTTAACTTTATACCTATTTTTTTATAAATGAGTCCCATATTTCACTATGTATGTGTCCATACAAAGTATATTGTATATTGGCTACCTACTCTTAGGTGGAAAGTACAATCAGTCCATTAAGTCAAAAGGGACATATAGTTATCTTTCCAATGCTGCAATACCAGTCCTTTGACCATGATAAAGGGACAATCCATTTACATTGTCCAGTTTTTAATTTTCAAATATTAGGTACAATATGGGGTTCAAAAGAATATTATCATGCGAAAAAAAATAGTTTTTGTTTATGCAATCACATTTACATAATCCAGTATTTTCTCCACATTTACATAATTCATACTTTATAAGCATAACTTCCATTTGAGTTGCTGCACCACAATATGACAGCACGTGACTGATTTTTCTTTAATCCTATTATAATACAATATATTATTTTCCAGGTAAGTTGACTTTGCATTTAAAATAAATCTATTTACACAGGCTTCGTTCACACAATACAAAACGTTTAACCTGAGCCAATCAGGTGAACGCAGCATTCACCAATAGCTGGGCCTGCATCTCACAGAAGTTGCTTTCGTAAAAGTGACCCAGCCTCTTCCTTGGTTGATCAATGCTATGGAGGAGCATCACAGCAGGTCTTAGGGACCATGCTCAGATGACACAAGACTAACACATACTTAGTCATGACTGCCCCTTGGTTCCTCTCTGGTCTAATTTATATGTGCAGAGTTTCTGCCTAAATGATAGAAATAAATTCTCTATCATCAGAGAATTATAGCTAAAACAAGACATTTTTAAAAAAAAAAGTCATTTCTATCATTAGCAAAGAAAAGTAGCTTCTTTTTTTCTACCTCTTGTCTGTTTCTATCTCTTTGCTCTATGGACTGGCAGAGAAGCATCAGATCATTCTTATCAAAGATCTGATGATTTCTTGAAGGTTTTTGAAATTAACAAGTTATCTGCCCTGCTCTTAACTGAGGTCCTACTAGACAAAACTCCTGTCTTTTATCAAATAAAATACATTTTTCACAACAGGCCTAAAGAGAACCATCTAAGGGAGGAGCTTCTTTATAGGGCAGGCATGTCAAACTCGCAACATCATGTGACGTCGCGTGACGTATTGGGACTTTTTCCCCATTGCCCGCAATGGGGTGGATGCAGTTTCAGCGGGCCTGCA